CTTTCGCTTAGTCCGTCGTGCGTGACGCGAAAGAAATTCGCGAGAAAAAAATGGCCGCGCGAAATCCTGTTGGCTAGGAGTGCGCGAAAGGAGCTCCAGGATTTCGCGCGGCCATTTTTTTCTCGCAGTTTTCTTTTGCGTCACGCACGACGGACTAAGCGAAAGAGGGACTACTCGTAGTCTAGCGGTGTTTACAATTCTGTACTTTTCAATTTCTCTTTGCAGGGCAAACAGAAGGAAGCTGAACAAGCCCGCATCAGGTTCGCTGGTGATACACGGAGTGATCATATAGCGCTCTTGAATGCTTTCCAGGTAATCACTGTTACATGTTTTGTCAACGTGTGTCAGTCAACTTTTCTGATAAAAGCTGGCCAAGTACACGGCAGAGCACTTGGTTTCAAATTGTTAAATCGCATTAAAGGGCGAAGACATTTATAACTTATCACGGAATATAAATAGTGAGGAGTCCACAGATTCAGTAGACTGTAATTTTTCTGGCAAGTTTACAGCAGGAATAATGACGGTCCCAAAACCGTACCCTGTGGGACCCCCGAAATTACAGCTGTGGGCTGAGAATGACTGCCATCACAGACTCCCGATTGAAAGCGGCTCTTTAAGAGTGAATCAAACCAGATAAGCAAGATTACCACGTATATGCCGTAGTATTCAAGTTTTCTAAGGAGGCGCTGATGTGGTACCTTGTCAAAAGTCTTGCTAAAATCTAATATTGGAGCATGGACTGATTTATATTCTTGCATAGCCTTGGCCATGTAGATGTAGATGTGAAGGGTTGATTTAACCTCGTTGCTTTTGCTTTTAATTTCAGGGCTGGGAGAAGGCTTCGCTACAAGGAAGCGAGAGAGACTACTGCTGGACAAATTTCCTGTCTGCGAACACTATGAAGGTAATTCCGTGTTTTGTTTCCAAGCGTTATTAAATCTGGTCGTTATCACGGCCAACCTGCGTGATAAAACTGAATGGTCCCCCATATTTAGTCGACCTCTTCACCTGATGAAGACTGGCTTTAAGCAGTCGAAACATCCCGGTATACATCACAAGTGACCACATTGTGAGACAAACGGCATACTTTCAATAAACTTTGATTAACTTTTTCATTATTACATCGAAATATTCACTCTCCTTAGGGATCACTTGACGTTTTTATCTTATTTCAGATGATTAAAGACATGAAGAAACAGTTTTCCGGACTATTGTATGAAATTGGTTTCCTCGATTCTACAAACCCCACGGCTTTTTCCGCTAATTACAATTCAGGTATTTTTGTCTGAATACTTGTCTTCTTGTGTGCTATTTTCGATAGAATTAACGGCCAGCAGTAGATGTTGTTAGCTGGGGTAGCCTGTTCGTGTTACGAATGTGATACCGCGTTTTTACGAAATGAGGACGATGACGATGACAAATTTCGCGTCTCTTTTTCCATTATATTCTCATATTTAACTTTATATTTCCTACGTTGTAAAATAGCCCTCAAATCTTTTGTGAACAAATTGCGTCCCTCACCGCCAAGTTTTC